ATAAATTTAAACAAGTAGAAACTCACTGTTGCTAACTGTCCTCTCAATTCAAACGTAATTGTACAGAAAGTAATGTTGCCTCGTTTAAAGTAGACATTTTCACAAATGAAACTTAGTATGATCAAAGAAAAACGATTGCATGTTCACCAATGTCTTGTCATTAAAACTCATTAGTAGGTTAATAAAAGAGCAGTTACAAAGAAGGTAGGAAATCGCTACTTAATAAAAGAAAATTTTAGACAGCTACATGGAAAGGTATGGTAATTAAAAGATAAAGAAATGTAGAAAAAAGGTGAAAGATGAGAAACATAGAGAAAAGATAAGAAAATACAGAGAAAAGGTAAAAGATGAAAAGAAGGTAAAAGTTGAAAAAATACAGAGAAAAGGTAGAAAATGAACAAATTCATAAACTTACCGTGGAAAGTAGACCGAAAGGACGAAAGAATTTCCGAAGAAATGTTGAATTTGCTCGTTGAAGGAAGAGCGATCTTGGAGATCGAGAGAGTCGCGCGATGCGACAGGGACGACGAGAAGTGAAACGATATCGAGAGTTTCTTGGTATATATAGGGGTTGGGGTGGTTTTCACGGGATAGGAGAGTGTGGGCGCAGGCACAGGTGGCCGCTCGAAAGTGTCCACGCGGTTGCTTCGAACGCAAGCGTTCTCCTCTCGCCTTTTCTGCACCCTTTTCCTCGTACGAGCACGACGAGTTGCTTGTAATTCCTCCGCCGGACGATCTTGTCGCATGACTTTTCACTAGTTTTCCACCATCGATTTACAACCGCTACTTTCTTCCTCTCTCTCTCTCTACCAAAGTGAAAAAGACGTCTCTGTGGTTTATACGAGTTTTAAATTCAAAGCTTCGCTCACCGGGTTCATCCAGAAACGACCCATTCGTGATTTGCGTTATCGATTAGAGTTTTCTGTTTTATAGCTGGATGTATTCAATTTATGTAACGATAAGGGTAACGATGTTACAAGTATTCCAATAAATCAGCAACAATTGCTGATCGCTGTTTCTGTGATATAGAGAACCGCTAAAAAAAAAAAAAAAGGAAACAAGAAAATGCTGAAAAATGTTTATTCTTCGGAAGTTGTAAAATAGAAGTGAAAGGAAATTAATTAATTGTAATATTTTCTTGTGGTTCTGGATGATGTGAAATATAATTCCTATGATTAATAGAAGGTAAATGATAATAAAATAACATAAACTTTTTATTGTTCAATCTATGTAGGCGCATATGTGAATTTTTGAATTTTCGAATACTACATAAAACTAAATTTAAACATTTCCTGATTTCTGGAATTAGAGATATAACTCTGTATGGAATTTCTTTTGGGATCAATAAAAGAAAAATATATTAACGTTTATCACGTTTTTAAAAATTCTACTATTTTTCTATTATAGTACTACACGATAGTGTTATTAATTTTGATTTAATATTGTTAGTACTCTATTCCCGGAAAAATGATCAACTGAATATTATCTTAACACATATATACGACATTAGAATAGTATTCTTTGTTTGTTTAAGAAAATTAACAATACTATTCGTAATGTTGCACTTCACTTTTTTACGCTTTGATTTTCCAGTTTATTCATATATTATACTTATAAGCCTCAAATTTGTGAAGATCTGATGAATAAGGAACAAATCTTAGATACAGTTCTCAGTAGGGGTTCAATCACGTTTCAATCGCAGGAAATGAATGTCCTTAGTGATTAGAGTACAAATGTACCTATACATATATACTATACGGTGAACAGTGGAACAATATTTTTTCTGCTCTCTTACCCACGGAATTATTAAATCAACGATTGGAGTTGTTTTCCTTAAAAAAAAAAAAAGAAGAAGGATAAATAAGTAGTAAAAACACGCATTTGTAAAATATATTCGAAAATTAATTGTAAGCCTTTCTTCCCTTTTTGCTTGGCCATCTTGTTTACATTATTCGCCCCGTATCTTCTTCATAGAACTTTTTTATTTGACTTACTTCTTCTTTGAAGTTGACAAAATTTCCAGTTGAAATAAAATTAAATTTAAAAGTTTGCACTGACGATTAAATATACCCACCGATTGTACAGTGTTGAAAGCTGTTATTACACGAAAAGGTGTTAGACAAGTAAATTAATAAACCCCTCGGAAACGTAATGTTTTTCAATAATTTTTTGACCAAAAATTCCACTTTATTAAACACTAAATCATGAATATTCGAAATATAATTGTAAATGAAACACCCCAAAAAGTTGAAGAGAGTACCAGAAAGAAATGATATTAGTATTAATATTAATTCATTGTATTCTGTTAATTTAAATTCTAAGGCTGATAATGGTTTATAATAAAATATAAAGTTTACCAGTGAATAGTATGTTTCATAAAAGATGTAAAATTCCGTGCAAAAGTAATAACGTTTCGAAGCAACGAAAAATATTATTTATTTTAACAAAAGCGATTTATAAAAATATATAAACTTACATAAGCAAAAATATTGGACCAGATAGGTTTTTCACTGTTTTTTTCGAAAGCAAAACCTGCAGGAATCTGATTTATTGGATATAAGGGAAGAATACTGCAATAAAAGGAACGCTCTTTATTCTTCTATATTTGTTTATTTAAAGAATTACTAAATTACTAACTTTTGTACGCCATGATATATAAAATTTAATAAAAGATAAACAAAAGTAATGTAAAACTATCTCGAATAGCAAATCTACTAAACGTGAAACGTAAAAATAACGAACTTCATGTAAATCTTCCATTGATCCAATTAAACGAGCATTCTGTTAAATAAATAAAAAGAAAGACAGATACCTTTATCTCTACTTTCTATTTCTTAATCCTTTTCGTTTCCTTCTAAGCATATTTGCATATAAAAATTTATCTTTACTTCCTAAATATAATAAATAAAGCAACATTTAAAAGTATAAACTACAATTTTTCACATTTTCCATAAAATTAGTGCCCTAATTAAAAATAGATTTATAACAGTCAAATGAAAATGTACTCGTTTATACATTCACATAGAATTACAGATAATTGGTGCACACACAGATCATGTGCAAATACTCGAAGATAAGTCATAATTCTGCTATAAGTGCAGACAAATGGCTGAGAAAAGAAGATCGATAATTGAACGTTATACGTATTGTATGTACCTAGGAAGCACAAGAGCGTATAAAATTACATTCTGGCATTAATGTTAATGTCCACTTGAACATCTTGGCTGTTAATGTCTGAATAAATATATTTACCCACAGTAATAGCTAGCTGTATTGATCGCATATACCATAAAAATGGATTTCGATGTCGAGAAGAATTAACATCATTTTTGAACATTTATTTCTATACGAGCCACTGAGAAGCCAAAATGATCAACTCCACTTTCCGATATTCTTCCAATTTTAGTGTCAAAGCTTGGTGCTTAATTCAAATTTAATAAATTTTATTTTATGGAGTTAGTCACTTTGGCTTCTCAGTGGTTCATATATTAACTGTACAGAAACTAATGTTGAAAATAAATTGCAACCTTATACACTAGAATATTTGGAACAGGGGAACATCGATTATGTGGGTGCCCCAAAAAGAAAATTTGCATACGTAATTTAAATGGCTTCAAAAGATGAACAAAATGGAGGAAAAATTGTTTAACAAATGCCATTTCTTCTGTTTCATTCAAGGTCACCTATATTTGCTTATATATATATATATTTTTCTACCATATATTGTAGCAGACACTGATGTGCATTTAAAGATACAGCAATATGACCTTAAAATGACCTTGGACTATAGAATTTTAAATCAAATGTGGAATTTACTTTTAATTTTCTGCCATTTCTTCCATCAAACAAATTTTTCATCCATCTTATTCACCCTTTGAAACCATTTGAATTATGTATAAAAGCTCTCGTACCACCGTAGCTAGAGAAGATAATTAAGTAGCCTGTTTCACGTGGCCAACCCTGTACAGAGTGTTTCATTGAAGCTCTTACAAACTTGTACTTTTGCAATGTTATCCGGTGCACAGTGCTTTTTTTCTTTGCTGCGAGAAAATTTTTTTTAAAGCTACATCAAAGTGTAGAAATAAAGGTCATCTTCGAAGTTTCAAATGGGAATAGACGGAATAGAATAGAAATGATCGGAACTTTGTTAAGATCTTTTATTTCTTACGACAGAAACGAAGTTTTTCATAAATATCCGAAACATTAAAAGTGAAAGCATATTATCTGGTGATTGAAATCGTACTCCTAGTAACTTACTATTCCGTTCCACGATCGATAACATTGAACGTAAAGCACAAAAGATGCTTTTCCGTTACGATAACACGTTTAATGTGCCTCAATACGATAGGAGTACGTGAATCACGACTCCCGCGTTTTATCAGACTCCACAGAAACTTTGCAACACGTACCCTACAATGTGTAACACCTATTTGATCATCCGCTGATAAGAAACACTACAGAGGATATAACAATTGTGATAAAACAGAAGTATGTTCTAAATAAAAATTGTATCAATACGCAAATTTCAATAATTGTAATCTTATCTGGTCTGTACAATCGGATCTAAAAGTCTCGGTGTACTATAGTCCGTAATGTACGGGAAAATTAATTAAATTTTAATGCAATTTTTAGTAACATTTTACTTTTTATTCGTCGACAGGGGAGAAATACGAATTTCGATTTTTTTTTTTTGTAGAAGTGAAATATTTATTTCGATGTATCAGAATCTGGTATTATGTGGAATTTGTAACTTGTAGGAAATATAATAACTTTTTTGTGGAAAACAATGATATTTTAAGTGAATTACTAATTTAAATCGTTACAAGTTTGCAATGTAAAATATTTATAATAACTTCATTATTTCTATAACAACCTACAATTTGACTTTATTCCCTTACTAACACGATATATTTTAATTACTTAATTTTAATAATTAACTATTAATCGATAACTTGTTAATCATTAGATTTCAAATTTCCCTAGAAGATAGGAAGATAAACTCATACATTTCTACCCCAATCATGGTGGTTCAATTGCTTCATTATTAAATGGCAAATGGTTTGGGTTAACTTTAAGCTTTACTTTGGCTTGGTTTTGCTTAACTTCTAGATTTAAATTGACGTATAACAAGTAGACTGCGGATTTTTACGCAAATTCATATTTTTAAGAATATAGTGAAAAAAAGTAGAACTTCGGTAAAAAAATTATTTCACCTACCAGATACTATAAAGAGCATTATTAATTTGGATATTTTGTATATTCTTTCATATTGCGTGCATTCTGTGCAATTTTGCACCTTTAAATTTCCTATAAATGGTAGCAAATTTCAGAACGCAATTTTTAAAATTTTACACGATTGTAAAGTCTGCCATTTCACATGCAACAACTCAATACTTTACCTATTTGCAACTCCCACTTTTTGCTAATAACCACTGATAAAATGCAAAATTGTCAATACACGTGTACTTCAATACGAAAACAAATTCTTAATATAAAATTAAATGGAACTCAACAATTGATCACCAAAGGAATAAAATTGAACTGGCGATGCGGAAGATTTTATTAATTGTTACAAAAATTGTAAAACCGCTTGGTTTACATTGAAAGGAGTAAATATTTCACCAGCAGGGCTCAAAATTTGACGTTTGATTTTCCATGTGTCCGGGTGATACGTAAATTATACGCACACAATTTGTAAATCCTGCACCTTGACGCCATCCGCTAACTATCACGATCGGATCACCAATCTTAATATACTTTTTCCTTCGGAGGGAGTCGACACCATTTTGTATTCGAATTTCCATGTCTTTAGTCCAATCGCACAAAGGCTTCGCTGTATTGAAAATTATGTTAAGTACAGTTGGGCCCTGTATAACGCGATGAAAAATTTGCTACTGCGCCCATATAAAGCCATCAAGAAAACAGAAAAGAACTGTATAAATTCTAAAGCTCTAGAAAATTTAACAGACGAAGAAACCGTACTAAATAGAATTTAATTTGTATCTCTCGCGTTATAGGGTGTTCTACTGTATAATTTTTACTGCAGTACTAAGTATCAAATTATTGCAATTATACCTAGGTACACGTATTAACATTTCCAATGTTTCATACATTCGCAAAAACTATTATTTACGAATGTATACATACAGCGCCGTTCGTAAGTATTAGAAGACCTCAGGATAGAGGAAATGGCGAACAGTGGGAAGGATGAGGAGATAGAGAAATGGTTAGAGAAAATAGATAGGAAGAAAAAAGAAAAGGAAAGAGAGAGTGTCGGAATAATAGGAAAATAGGAAGGGAAAAGAGTAGAAAGAAAGATGAACGCAATAAGAGAAGGAGAATAAGTAGTCAAAGAACGAGTGTGTGAGTGACGAGACAAAATGAAGCGTGAAGGTAGTAGAACACCTATAATGCTCGTACAGAAAGTATTATGTGATCGAAATTTCTTTATCAAAATTAGTATCATATCGTCACCTTAACCCTTTACGTAAAACACGTTACTCAACCTTTAGTAGAATCTTTCGTTTTGGAGTTTCAAAATTTTCATAAAAATTGTAAAATAAAAATTAAAAATCTGTTCTGTTAAATTAAGACGAAAGTGTGCCAAAAGGCGACAAGGACACAACGCGAGCACGTTTTCAAAACGCCTACAGCAGTGAAAGGGTTGATACTACATTTGAAGTATTACAATCAAACTTTTGACATTTCTTCGGACGACAAATCTACGTATTAGAAGATATTCCAAGCAAAAGAATGAAAATTGGAAATTTTCACTTGTGAAACACTTTTCCCGCGGGGCTGCGCTATATGAACCACTCGGAAGCCAAAGTGGCTAACTCCGTTAAATTAAACTTATTAAATTTTTTTTATTCACGAAGAATTAAGCATCAAGCATGTGCTTTTATACTAAAATTGGAAGAATTTCAAAAAGTGAAGTTAATCATTTCAACTTCTGAGTGGCTCATATGCTCCTTAATACTACGAGATTCCAAACTGAATCATAATTTTTATTATTTTAATCACATCGTAACGATTGTTCAGATTTAATTCACATTCGGTAAGTGCCCCAATACTTATGAACGGGAGTGTACGCGTGCTTGCGCAAGAAAAAGTAGAAAAGAAGGGGGTACGTTTACTTTTAAATCAATTTCATTTGAAATCAGGATAAAACTAATATTTACTTCTGTAGTGGAAAGGGTGGACACCGTAATACAATTGTAACAATCTTGCGACTACTCCATAACGCGTGATTGCAAGAATTGGACATCTGGGACGATACATCGATATCAAAATAGCACTGCGCCCAGATGTTGTTGTAACGATAATTGCAGATGCGTTCGATTTTAAGGATGTCTCAACAGCCCCAACTATAATAGCCTGTGCGGGATCTAAAGGTACTGGCACCTGTTTTGTTTTTTAAGTAGAAAGTGTATGCGGTGCAAATTGAATAATTGAAGAGTCAAAGGAAAGAACAGCGAGGCACCATTTTTTGTCTATCACGATATTTGAATACATATGGATGTATTTTTTATTATAGAATTCAATTTTTTGATTAGAAATGGGAAAATAAATGAAAGTTTCTAGTTATTGGAACTAAAAAAAAAAGTATAAAAGGAAAATGCACCGATGTAATACAGAACTGAATGGACTTTACAGTTTCAAATGCAGGAAAATTAACAGTACGTCTATTTTACGTGCAATTAATTTATCAAACTAATAGAAATGACATATGTTTGGAAAGATAAGAATAATTTTAAAGAATGGAGTTTACAGGAAATCATGTCATGGCGAATATGATCTTAAAGAATTTTTTAATTTAGTGGAGAAAATCAATTCATCTGGCGCTTTAATTAACTTGTGTCGTAGAAAATTCAGTTATATTAATACAAGTTCAATTTATTCAAATACCTTGCAGCTCAGTTCGTCAAAAATTTCTTTCTGCCACCGAGCGCTTTCGGCTTCTCTACATACCATATCGACATCTTTCAATAATTTCGTAGTTTCTTTCGCATTTAAAGTTCCAGTTTTAAGAAATATCGCATCGACTCCGTTTAAAACAGCATTTGCAATTAGATTCATGTCGATGTTCAATTTCCCATTATTGCACACTTGAAATCCCATTATTGCTCACTTGAAATCCTAACGCGACTGGTTTTCCCATCTAAAGAAAAATTGGGGGAAAAACTTGGCATGTATTGCGTTCCAAAATATTAACTAATTTTTTGTAAATATTAGCAAGTTCCGTAAACAGAAAATTTGAAAAAATTTGAAACTTTGCAGAAATGCAGTTCAACTGAGGTTAATAACGAAACCATTTTTTGTTTCGATAATGAAACGGTCCTAGGGGTGAAAACACACAAGAAATTATGAGTTTTCATATTATTGTGAATGTTTGATTTTTGCTGTCCTACATTGTAAGAAATTTTTGAATCTTATACAAAAAAAAAATAGGCACGACCTTATGGACACTTACTTTGATACATTTTGCGATAAGAATCTTTTCGACGAGAAACAATTTTTCGGTTCCTACATCGATTTCAATACTCCTTCTATCAATAAGAATTGCATCGGCTACGTTCAGAACTTCGTCGAAATTCTCTAAACCTTGCTGTGTCGAAATCTTTGCTGCCACACAAATTTCGGTAATTCCTTTAAACAAAATCTGTTAGCGTTTGAGATTATTCGGAAACTTAGTTCCCAGTGTTATTTCATAAGTAGTACGTTTACAAGAAATAACGAAAACTT